GGCCGGCTACTTGGAGCGGGGAAGTCTCTTGGCTTATGCTTCCCTTGAGATGAGATTGCAGCATACCTGTGAAAGCATGAACGAATCAGATCAATGGCTTCAAGAAAAAAAAAACATCATAAAAGTAAAGCTGTTGCTGAAATGTGTTGGTTTAAGGGCATAATTACCTTTTCCTTGGTGTAATTGCTTGTTTCTTTCCAGGGGGAATGGGAATAGATGCTAAAAGCCTCATTAAGATCAAAAATCTATTCTGAGAAATTACCAGAGCAGTCTTGGGCAGTGTTCACATATTCAGTCTGATAAGAAATTTAAAAACAGTGCAATTACACTTAGTTTCAGAAAAGCTTCTCTTAGTCACACAGACCAGGCTTTAACAAGAGAGGAACTTAAAAGGATACGAGGCCTTGGTGGTTTTGCCAAGGACTGACAGCGCATGTGTTGGAGTTTTCTCATTTTCAGATCCTTGGCCTGGGGCCTGTAGTTGTTTCCAATAGATTCACTGGGAGTTCGGTAGTGACGTTGCTCTTTGTATGGTACTGCTTGAGTCCGTGAAGAAGTTTGGAGGATGGGTGGGTACTGACTGTGCCTGTGGACTATCTGAGTTAAAATGAACAGATCAGATGGTGGGTAAACGTGTTGAATTATGGGAAAACATTTGAGCAAAACTGGCTTGTTCAAAGTCCTCATGTGATATTGATATTCTTACTTGATACAGTTCCGAGGGTGTATCATTACAAGGCAAAGGTGGTGGAAAAGCACATCCTCTGTTCTCACTCATATTGTAGATGGAGTCATCTTCCATCTGCAGTTCAGACAGAAGCAGACAACACAAAGGACTACTGACACTTTTGCAGACTGCAAACTCTTAATATTTGATCACTTCATTTTAAAAACAACACAAGGTGCAGTTAAATGCATAATTAAAACACTACAGCAGCCAAAGAAGGAAAATGATTTGATATAGTTTCACAGCCACAAAGTCAGCACAGGGAAGAGCTGTATATTATTGTAACCATGACGACCAAGGACTGCTGCTCGTTTCCCGTTTCTAACCAACTGTTTATCCTTCCATACCTTAAGTAATATTTTAAGCAATATTTTAACACTGATAACAACGGTTTTCTGCTGTAACCTAACCAAGTAGCAAGCAACCAAAGGAAAAAAACACGTCGTTTTCAGGCTGCGTGGGTATTTTTGAGACGGTTTGCTTGTTTGGGTTGTTTAACTTGTAACCGGTAAAACAAAGACTCAAACGTAGCTCACCTGTTTCAGACGCTCCATGTTCTTCAGCTTCTCAGCGACTGACAGGAAGAAAACATGGAATTAGCGTAACTGTGTGAATGAAAATGACAGTGTTGTGCATGTTTACAACGTTTAAAGGGCAAACAAACACTGAAAAATACGGTTGTGTCGTGAATATCAGTTACCTTCTTTCGGTCGCTGTAACGTAACGCGGGCAGGATTTCTGAGAGTTTAAATGTTTAATGTCCCCGTCAGCAGCAATTAGCCGAGAATTTGAAATCTGCCTCTCAACCATTGTATTATATTTCAAGCTGCTGGCAGTTTAGTTTTTCCCTGTCAAAGCTTTTACTAAGGAAGAGTCATCCCGTTGCCGTCAACTGAAAAAGTGTTGATGTCATCCAGGAGCGTCTCCATGGTAACACCTACTGCTAGTTTTGTTTTACGTTTTTTGTTTTTTTTTTTATTAACAGAACAATACACACGTTCATCATTTATGCAAGCAAAGTGATTATAGCTGGTGTCGTGCCAAAAAGTGATTGTCCCTGCATTATACCACCTGCTGTGTTCTAGATGATAGCAGATCCAGCTGTTTTTACCAGCTAAAATAGCTTTAAATGACCAAATCAACTCATATAATACAGTGTTCCACCTATAAAAACGTGATTGCAGCCCCTACATTATCGCTGAAATGTCATTAAAGCATCAGAATGACTTGATTTCCATAATGGGGGTTATATTAAAAAGATTATATGCCAAAGGATAAATGGAAATGAGATCATTTCTTTATTTTATATAGAAATCCCAGCTGCAAATCATGCAAAAATACAGTCTAAAAAAAGGATATTAGACATACCAAACACATACAGCCTAAATATTGGAAAACAATATTACAGTATGTCCAACCGTTAAAGTTTCACAAAAACACACAAGTTATGATAAAGACATTTTCATGAGGAGCAGGTCACGAATGGATGACCCGTCACCTAAATTATTAGGTAGAGATTACAAATACATTTAAAAACATCATTACACAAAATTCTCAAAGATTTGACCCTATTCAGGACTTTGATGTTGCCATACGTAGAAGGTCTTTCGAGGTCCATTGGACCCCAAGAAAGAATATGTGCAAAATATTTGTTGGTGTTCATTATAAACCTTTATACTATGTCAAATAAATATTCTGATAAGTTGATGTGTTTTTTTGGTTCCAAATGCATGACAAATGTCATTCTTCTTATATTAAAAAAAATAAATCTTCAAAAATAATTTTAAAAAATCAATACCTGTCACCTAAACCAAATGGCCTGGGGTCCAAAAGACACCAAAAGTCCTGAATATGGTTGATGTCCCCATAAATCATACACACTTTGTGAACAAAGTTAGTGTCGCTTATCAGGCATGTCAAATGTTTCGAACACAGGTTCTAGATAACACTATAGAAGTTAAGATTAAGGTATCTGGGTGGAGGACTGGCTCTCTTTGAGAGTGCACATAAAGAACCTAGTGAAATAAAACTAGAGGTTAAGTTGGGTTTATATTATCAAAATAAGGCCTGCTTTAATTTAGCAGTAAGGAAAGCATGGAAACATGCCATATTCTTCAGTGTTTTAGTCCACAGGGACATTATCTATGCGCATGCTGCTGCTTCTACTCAGTTTCACAGCTCTCCATGTTTTATGTTCAACCCATTGTCCAGAACACATCACTGTATACTTTATGATCTGCTTTCTTTGCCTTCATTAATCCTAAGGAGACGGTAGCAATGGTATATTTGTTATTTATAAAGCAAAACTGGGTAAATTCCCTTCTTATTTTTGATTTTTTTTTTTTTAAATCACTTACAAACAACTGTTATGACTTTCATTCATCTAGATGGCAGCTCTACAGATACCCTCTAAACTTGGTAGTGTCCTTTTCCTATATTGCTCCTTGGTCCTGGAAATAACCTTTAGAACAGGTCATTCAATATTTTGTAATCTTTTGTAGTTTTATAATGGCATGCCTTCTTGACCAGGTCTCCTTTGAGGAAGAGATATTCATCTAAAGGGACTTTCATGGTTAAATAAAGGTTAAATAATTGAAAAATAGAGGGGACCAGGATTACAGAGCAAAGGTTAAGTTAGGTCAAGTCAGGTCAAGTTCACTTATAAAGCCAAGGCCAAGCTCATCTTCAGGATTCAACTAAAAATGCCCATGAAACACTTATTTTAAACTGTTGCCAACTTAATAAAAACATATCAATCTTGGATTTTAATCAAGTTTACATGATCACACATTTATATGACCCAGAGGTGTGTCTAAACAATGTTAAAGGGGCGTTGCACTCTCATACTCCCGGCTTGCGCCTTCTTACCAAAATGCCGATTGAACCCTGTGTTCACACCAGACGCGCGAATGATTTACATGTAAAGTAAATGTGAAGACGCGATCAGACGCGATGGAGTAAACGTCCCGCGGCGCGACTAGCGCGATTAGCGCGGCGCAATTGACGCGAATTGAGCGAGTTTTTCGCGCGAATGAGGTGATTCTAACCGCGCTAAACGCGCGTTAAGCACATATCGCCTAACGCGATACCGAGCCTCTCCAACAGGTAGTCCAACTGGGTCCGGATCAGCCGAAAACCGCACTTGAAGCGGCCGTCATCCAGGCGCAGCTGCTGGAGAAGGTGAGGGAATTTCCCGAGTTGTAGTGTACATGTATGATAGGGTCACTCGGCCCCCCAACACCCCCTCGGTCGCTTTGGTCCCTCGACACGGTGTGCGCCCTCATACAATTTTTTTTCTAGAAAAACCCCTGTGATCATCCTGAAACAGGCTATTACATATGTGAGCGCTTAGGACAAACATTCTATTGTAAGAAGTTTAACAGATTAAAGTTAGATTAGTATTTACAATCATTTATAATTTACTAATCTAAATAAGCTGTTTCATTAGTCCTGTCCGGCTGTTTGAGTCACATGGGCTGAGGGGGCGTGGTTTATGCTGACGTACCAGTGCTGTTGTGAGGCAGAATCAGGTCGGCGGGTTGCCTTTGTGTGTCTGGCAAAGTTTTAATTATTTTAAAAAATGGTAAGTTTTAATGCCAGCTTTGTGTGCACAACAATGTCCTGTAACAATCGTAGCCATAAGGGTGCCGTCTTAATAGAAGAGACGTGACTTATTAATCGGTATGCTAGCAAACTGTGTTGCTCACGGTGTTAGCTCGTTGTCGTTACTTGACCTTCGCGCGGAGAAAAGAAAAAGGCGCACTAGTAGCTTGAAGCTGACTTTAACTCGGCTAATGGCATCGTTTAGCTGCATTTAGCATTAGATGGTAGCAAGTAATGTTAGCATTGGTTACTTAGCCTGTCATCGCCAACTTTGTTTCGATGCTGTTTTCTTCATTTGTAGCTGCTCACTTCTTCGCCCGCCGAAGTTAGTTTACTTTTGCAGAACCATTGCGGATCGGTGTTGACGTTCATCACCAAAAAAGTAAGATAGAAAAGAAACAATGTTGACAAAATTGAAGCCTCAAAATAAGGCTTTATTATTACATGCTTTTGTTAAGGATGGCTGGTGTTACACCCACAGTGGACTTACAAGAGTCCATGTGCATCTAGCAAATTTTTTTTAAAAACTCAGTGATCAATTTTATTGGATCAATGGTGTCACGTGGTAGCAGCAAGACAGACTCCTGACCCTGCGGAGAACTTTCGTTGTGTTTTCCTGTTGTGCAAATTCACAATTTAAATGTTATATTTTTATTCTAAGGATATCAACATGCCCAGAAGCACCAATCAGACTTCACCATCCGTAAAGTTGTCCAATGGATTCATCCTACCTGAGGGCAAACTGACTCCCAACGCCCTCTTCGTTGGTGGGATCGACATGAAGGTAAGATGGGATGTACTTGGTTTACTTTCACACTGCTCAATCAGAAATAAAGAAACACAGTGCAGATGTCAAAAATAGGACAATAAATGAGGGTAAAATGCTAAGTTTATAATAATCTAAGCACAGTCGTGTGTAAAAGTAACCTAGGCAACTAAAAGCACTAATTTGCTTACCTGCATACGAATACACTAATTGCAAAAGAAATATCAGTCATGCATCCATGCCGTGTCTAGAGTGTGAGAGGCTCACTCAAAAGTATGCATAAATAGGCAATGCATTAGATGCAGGCAAAAATCCCCATTACCCTGCATCACATTTATCATGCTAAATTATTTTACTTATTTATTTGACCTTTATTTTACCAGGTAAAAATGTCTGAGAACCAGTTCTCATTTGCAAACATGACCTGGCCAAGAGGCGCCAGCAGGAACAAATACACATGTAAACTACAGACACAAATAGACACATAAACATAACATAGAACAAAAGTAAACAAGTAAGAAGCATGGGAGCACATGCATGTGAGTGGAAAAAGACAGAGATGGCAAACGTGCTCACATTCTTTACTTAAGTAGAAGCAGAGATACTTGTGTAAAAATAGACTCTGGTAAAAGTAGAAGTACTGACTCAATGCTTTCACTCAAGTAAAAGTAAAAAAATACAGGTTCAGAAATGTACTTAAGTACAAAAGTAAAAAGTGCAAATGAATTTTTAGCTTCGATGATGCACGATGCCTCTTTTGATAACTCTGCAAAACGAAAAATGTTTTAAGAACACAAAATAGGATTGTTTTCATCCTTTACAAACCTGCACAGTGCTGGTACAGAGAAAAAAAATCACTGGACAGCTTTCCATTTCAGCAACATTATAAACATTATAATTAACGTGAAAGCACTCATCTCTTCAAGACTACCAACATCTTTTATTGAGCCTCAGTAGAACCTGGTTCTTTGAATGAAGACAGGCCCTTTTGGGTCTGAACATCAGTCCTGCAGTGCTAAAAAGCCTCTCGCAGGCAGCTGAGGCAGGCAGGGGTGTGTTGAGCTTCAGTGACTAAGAGGGAAAGATAAAGGCATTTGTCGTTACGTCTTGTACATCATGTCGTCATCTGCAGAGGTTGAAACCAGTAACGAGCCAGTTTTGGGAATGTAAGGAGTAGAATGTACAGATATTTGTCTTCAAATGTAGGCAGTAAAAGTAAAAAGTTGTCCGAAAAAATAATACTCAAGTAAAGTACAAGTCTACTTAAGTACAGTAACGAAGTATTTGTACTTCGTTACTTCCCACCTCTGGAAAAAGATGTGCATGAGGTGTAAGAAAGTGTGTGTGTGTGTATATATGTAATGTGATGTTGTGCAGTATCAAAATAACTTCCCTTCCTGCTTGCTGCCAACAAATCTAATACAAATAAAATGTGTTATTTATAATACATTACATCTTTGCATCTTTTAGGGTTCAGCTCTGAACTCCAGCAGACTTTCACCTGAGTTTTAAATTAAGGGAAGAAAGAATAGAATAGAACAGAATAGAACTTCATTGATCCCCTTGGTGGAAACCTCAGGGAAATTGCTGCAGATAACCTTTGCAATAACACTGTGAACATTTGATAGTTTTTATAGGACTTCAACACATTCGATTTTATGCAGAAAGTTTTATCTCCTCGGTGTCGATAGTTTAAAATCAGTGTTTTTGAACTGCACTGCATTGCTTTTCTCTAACAACACATAATGGGGTGACGATGGTCAAGCACGACAACGAAAATTCTACTTTTTCTCTTGAAATTCATTTGAACTTTCAGGTGGATGAAAATGAAATGCGGGACTTCTTTGCGAGATATGGCGCTGTTAGGGAAGTGAAAATTATCACCTACCGTGGAGGGATCTGCAAAGGGTGAGTTGTGTTGTGTGGAGACACTCGGGTGTAGGCGCCACATTTTTGACGACTTGACAATCCTCAATGCTTTTCTTTGTTTTGTTTTTATTTATTAGAGTTGACTGAGTTTTGCAGTGTTGGATGTTATAACCCAATGTTTTTACTGCTTGGTACGTTTTAAACGGATTGCTGTGGTATCTTGTTTTTTTTTTTATTAAAGGGGGTTAGAAAACATGGTGTCATGAATTTGTGTATTTTTGTTCTGCAGTCACATTCACGAAGCAGCGAATACAATAATTGCTATTCTGCTTTTTTTTTAATTATTGTTAACTTGCGTGAAAGTATGGGAATATCAGTACAGGGACTGTTCATTTTCATGAGTTCTACAAAAATATAATAACATGATATCACTTTTTTTTTTTCTAATTACACATTGTATATTGACTTTTAAGTCTTAGAAAAGTAATTATTTGAAATCATAATGCGACTGTGTGTTTCCAGTTATGGGTTTGTGTACTTCAACGAAGATGTCAACATTGAGTCAATCATTGAGGTGAGCGGATGTCGTAACTGTGAAACTGTTATTCTGTTATATGTCACTCCGAGTAAGAGTAATACTTTCTCTGTAAATACTTTCTGCTGTAGCAACAAATCAGTTTTAAAGGCCGTAAACTCAAGCTGGGCCCTGCCATCATGAAAGGAAGGAGCTCTCGTACGTATTCTGTTTCTCCTCAGAAGAACATTGGATATTTGTTTGGCAGTGCAAGTAGAACATGTTGTCACTAAATATGTTTCCTATTGCTGTGTGCTTTTCTTCCTCTATAAAGGGTCCATCCCATCCCGTCTGGTTGGCCCGAATCCTTGGATGAGTCCCACGCAGTACTTCTACTGTGCCTGCTGCTCACCCATGGGAGGAGGGGTAGCGCAACCCGTGCCCATCCTCAATGGAGGCAGCCAATACAATCAGGTATGCCGCACACACACACACACACACACACAAGCTATGAAGCATCGTATCTCCGTTGGAAGGCAGACTAAATTAGAAAAAAAAAAACAACAAGTCGTCAAAGCAAATAAACACATTGTGTGACATTAGCAGTGCTGTCACACACCTTTCTATTACACTCTGAAAAATAAAACGAAGCTTATTTTCTCTGAGGGGGTTGGCTGATGCTCATTATCAGAGCCATGAATAGAGTTACCAGGTGGAGAATAATCTGTCAATTTTCTTTTTTAATTTCCAAGAAAGACAAAAAATAAAATAAAGGTGGCTATGTTATGATGAATGTCATTTGCTCATGATAACCAAGTTGGTGAATTATTCAGACAATGCCTGCTGTCAGAAACATCAGCGGGACATTGAAATGTGCGAGACAAAGTTGCTAATTGTGTTTCCTTTCAGTCTGTTTCAAGATTTTCAATATGTATTTGAACATCTGCTTCACGCTGTTTGTTACCGTGGTTTAATGGACCCTCGCTGGCTTCATTTTGCAGCCATACTCCTACGCCAACTTCGGAGGGGTCATGATCCCACAGATGCCGATGAACTACGCGCAGAATGCCTACGCCTACCAGGTACGCACACACAAACGCACATCCAAATACAGATTCATCAGCTGTATCCCACGCAGGGTCTCCCAGGCTCCTGCACATATGCTCCCGCATATTAAATGAAGGCTTCAGCCTGGTTTAGGTCCACCTGTCCCTGCCCACCCCTACCGTCCACACCGTCCACCCCTCCTCTAGAAGCCAGTCTGGGTTTTTGTGTTGCCCTCGGTTTGACAGCTGACCCCCTCTCCCCTCACACGCAGTACACCCCTCCTCCCTGGACGCCGGACCAGAGGACTCCGCCTGTCAATCAGGTGACTCTGCCTTTAGAGGGAATAAGAGTGGATGTTGGGGACATTCCGTTTAAAGCGGTGCAAAATGCTTGTCGTAGAAACATGTACAGTTTGCAGGAGAAACATTTTGTGTACCCTTTTTTTTTTTTTTGTTCTGTGCATTTTGGTCCCCCAAGTTGTCCTCAACCTGCAATATTCATGCGTACCACTAGATGGCGTTGTCTGGCCTGTGTTGACATCCTGAAGAAGAGACTACATGAATCAACAATGAATTCCTATGTTTCCCCAACTGCACAAAGTTGATTTTGTGTACTTAAGACTCGTGACACATGCAGTGCTGTTTTTAGGAGCTTGTTTGTGGCAGCTGTTCAAAGCCTTTGAAGCATATCTGTGGGTTGGTCTCACCACGCTTGTTTTGTAATGTTATTCCCTGTTTCCAGAACTTTGTGGACTGTGGAGTCCAGACTATGCTGACTGTGCTGTAATCTACAGCCGCTGAGCCCCCCCGCCAGGTAACACACCACCACTGCAAATTGCTGCTTTTTTTTTTTTTTTTTAAGGTTAGCTGTCTCTCAGCTACCATCCTCCTCCTTCATGGACATCATTAGCCCACTCTTTTTCTGTCCTCAGCATCCCCTCTTTGTCAATCTTCACTATAGTTGCTTTACCACAAAGCAAATATCCAGCATGTAGTTGTTAGTTTTGATATAACACTGTTAAAGTGACTGTAATTGAGAAAGCAGTCGACAGTTATTTTCTTGTAATATGATTTTCTTTCCTCTTGTTTTCCTCTGCCTCGACTACAGCGAGTCAAAATGCCGACAAGATGACATCTTAAAGTTCCGGACGTCTGGAAGCGACCCAGCTCTTCGAGCTTTTCTGTTTTGTTTTGGGTTTTTTTTCCCATAATGCCTTCGCCGCTCCTCGCTCGCCTCACTTTTTGAGAGCCATTTTAACACCAGACTGCATGAGCTTTCCACTTTAACTGTACCAATTTGATCCCGGCCACTTTGACCACCACTGGTAGGGTCGACCTGTTTGTACGCTGCTTTTAACCCACATGGATCACAGTGACAGTCGCACAGGAAGAGCAGAGCACCCTCACCGTACCCAGCTGATACATGGGATCACAACCTTCCTTCCTTCCTTCTTTGTTTTTCTTTGTGAATTATCCCAAACAAAAGATGGAAAGACTTTTATGCTCACTTTTTTGCGCTTATTTATATTTTTATTTAATTTTGAAATTATTTTAAATGTTTGTTTGGTTTGGGTTTTTTCTTTCTTTCTGTCTTTTAGCCTCTGCAAGGGCTCTCTGTGCCTAAAACGTTTGTATATATGTATATTGTAACAATGTCTTGGCTGCAATCTGGTTGTTTCAGCATCGGAGTATTCCTCTTTAACTCCAGTTCAGGTCTAATGCTTCTCCGATTAAGACTCTTCATTAACTTGTCGACTACAGCATTAGGGGGCACTTGGTCATTCTATTAATTTCAAGCACTCAAAAGTTAATTTCGTGCTCTATTTTATTTCGTCGGGTGTCCTCAAATGAAAGGCAGTTTTGTCACAGCGTAGCGCCTCGTCAGCATCGCTCCTTTGCTTACCTCGGTTATGATGTTCGAGGGGTTCAATGAAAAATCACAGCATCGATTCTATTTACCATTACTTGGTAATCAACTGCTATTTGGGAGGAGAGAGAGGGAGAATAAAAAAAGGTGGAAAATGAAGGACTTGATTTCAAGCGAGGTGCTGTGTCACATGGGGGAAGCATTCACTGTTTGCGGTTCACACCTTTTGTTTCGACGGTTTGGGGTTTTAATGTTAGTTGCTGGTGATCTTACACAAAGCATTTTACAGACTTGTCGTGAGTGAGCAATGTTTTGTTTTTCTTTTCAGCAAGTGCACTGACTATGTCTTAAGTTTAATTGTAAGAGCAGCTTTGTATGATTGAATATGCACATTGGTGTATGCTGCACATCACTGATTTTTTTATTTATTTATTTTTTTGACCCAGTTCTGTGAGGTTGCATACGGAGATCGACCTGGACGTCTGCTTGCATGCAGGTGTGATTGTGTTTCTAGAATTGTTTTGTTCAGAGAGCCTGGCCACTGTTAGGGTTTAGTTATTGTTCACATTTTGTAGGGTTTTGATATCTTTGTTAAAAAAAAAAAAAAAGAAATAAAAGTTGAATTGTTATGATTCCAAGCTTGTGACGATTTTTGCATCCCTATGTATGCAAGTGTGTTTTTGTAGGAATGTAAAATGTAATTTCCTACTTTAGAAGTGATGATCTGCGTGGAGCTGCAGACAGAAGCGGCTGCAAACAGACTCCATGAACCTGTCAGTGGCGGCTGGTTTTCAGTCAGGGTTGGATTGCCTTGTCTTCCCTGGCAACAAGCCCATCATCTCTTGGTCACAGAGCGTTTTGTTTTTGTCACAGTCTGGTGGTGTGACTGGGGCTCCCCAGGGTGCCCCATCCAAGCCCTTGACCACCCACCGACCCCACCCACCTACCCCCCCTAAGTCAGACGTTTCTGAATTATGGATTAGTCTGGATAGCTTCTTATGAAATATGAATTTTCCAAAGGAGCCCCGTGAAAGACACGAACACCCTACAACCCTCTGATAGTAAACCCAAATCTGTGGGTGTGACTTAAATCTGCTGGGCCAAAAAAACATCTGGAAACAAGTGTAAGTTGCTTCTCTCCATATTTTTTTCCCCTCATGCATGAGTGCGTCTCCACTTGTTTACCCGGGTATCACAAGAGTAGTTTAGTCATTTTTAAGTCTCTATTGGGGTGCATCTTATTCTCCAAAGTGTTGATCTAACCCAGAGCAGCGAGTGAGGGAACAACAGGGAGGAGAGAGGGTGAGATAAACCGCCCTCTCTTCCCCCCCCTCCTCTCCTCCTCACACGCGCTGCTGAGAGACGCGGAGGTAGACGGAGTGTTTATCGTGAGCTTTCGGTCAGAGGTCTAAATGACGGATTCATGTGTTCATCTCATTGGATCGCATCTGTCAGAGCCTCTGTATGTCTCTTTCCAGCAGCCGTGACGGGGACAGACAGTAGAGAGAGAAGAGGAGGAGGGACGCGCGTCGACTGACTCAAGGAAAGCTTTCAGTCCAGATTCCACTTTTACGCACAACCGGGAACGACTTGATTGGTGAGTTCAACTCTTTCTGGCTGTTTTTCTTGAAATTTTCCGCAACAAAACGACACATCAGCTCATTAACAGCTTGTTGATATTTGGATAATTCCTGCCTAAATTGATGAAATGGCCTCACTTCTTGCGCCATGTGACTTTTCCGCCTGAAAAAATGTTGCAGCTTTGAAAACAACTTTATTGGAGAGAAATGCCTTCTTAAATTTCCCACGAGGAGTCTGTGGGGGAGCTTTGCGCAGTCAAACGCCGGCGACAAAGAGAAATCTCCTCAGTTTAGACATTCAGACAGTCGTTTTTGATTTGTGTGATGATGTGTGCCATTTGTATTGGTGGCGGAACGAAATGAATAAGCCCCTCTGCTCACTGTCACAGGTTGAAGTGAACTCAAGATATGCTTGACGGAGTAAATGTGCAGAGCGCAGATGGAGGCAGGAGGAGGAGGGTGTGTGTGTGGTTGTGTGTGTGTGTGCCACAACGAGAAAGATCTGGTGCGTAAGCGACCTGTCATGTATCATTTCCCGTTCACTAAACTACCGCCGTTACCGGGCAGCAGCCAGCAGCCACGTGTTGGGTTGAGCGTGAGGGTTGTGAGCTTGAACGCACCAAACAGGAGGGGAGAAAAAAAAAAAGGGAAACCAGAAACATGTAATTTCAAGCAAGGCTGCACCCACAAAATGCATTGAGCATCAATTAGTTACATGTCTATGTATGGCTGCGCACTGTATAGCTGGAAATCTATTTGGAGGCGTTTGGAGAGGGGGGAAAAAAAAAAAAAAAAGCGCGCATTAGTGCTGAATGACAACCAGTTTATCATAGCTGCTGCGCAAACAATAGGCTTCCACTATATAAGTTGTTCCTTTTAGAAATCGGGTCTAATATGTTAAATGATGGATCCAGGAGCCCACCTCAGGGCTTGGTGAATTGATGCTCCAGTCCGAGAAAGCCTTCTTTTGTTCATAAACTGTTCTTTTTTAGGGAGGAAAATAGGCTGTGCAAGGAGCTGTGTGACAGACCAATACATCAGTGTCATAATTTGTTTTTATCCTCCCCATGCAGCCTCATTAAAACACTGTTTGAGGTGACTACTTTGTTGCTTGGGGGAATCACACCTCCCTCCAGGCAACTTGACATGCTCCCACTCAGCTCTCCATCTCCCTCCGCTCTCTCTTCCCATTCCCTCCTCCTTCTGTCTTTCTTCCTCGTTCTGTTCCAGCTTTCCATCTTTTCCCTGCATCGCCAGCGTCCCCTTTTCTTGGAGCTTCAACCCTCAGTGGGAGGGAAGCCCACTCCCCAAGACTCAGTCTGTCACCTCCGATTTTGAAATTCATTGAAATACTGTAGTGTGTACACACCAGATGCTAAAACGAGCGGTACAGTTTTCATTGTCGTACCTTAAATTTTGGTGCTTTACAACCACACAACTATAAAAAAGTGACTTAATTTAGAGTCACGCACTGTTTACAGGCCAAGAAGAAAAAAACTTGCATACACAGCAGGTAGTTATGATGCCATCGGCTCACAAGCAATGCAAATTATGGCCTCCAAATACGTCCATAAAGGCATCTGGAAGGCTGCAGCGACAGTTTTAGGTGGTGATTCTCGCTATAAATCAGTTTAGTGCATCAGATACACAAATGAACATAACATCTATAATGCATGCAGCAAAAGCCAAGTAAAAACTCTGCTCTTACCTCAGAGTGATGCAAAAACTTCTAATATGTTCCTGGAATAGCCCTTCGGTTGAGGAATCAATATGGGAATGATTAAATAATTAAAGACAAATTAAAGCACTTCAGACAAGCGAGTGATAATACAGAAGCCCTAATTGCCTTCACCTGCTTAAAGTTTTCATCTCACTTTTTGCAGAGCCTCCAAATGTTGGTGCTGATTTAGGAGACAAAGCTGTTGAGACATAAAGTGTTGCGCAAAAGGCACCAAAAGGTAAAGTGAGGATTCTTTTGAAAACAATGCTTCACAAAAAGCACAGGAAACTGGAAAAAACAACAACCTCAAATCAGTCTTTGATGTGACCACCCTTTCCCTTCAGAACATCACCAACTCCCCAAAGTGCGCTAATGCATCCTGGAGAATCACTTCTTCACACAGTCCCAGACGCACCCGGTGACGTTGAGATCAGGATGCTGGTGTCAAATCCTTTATGTTTCTTCTTGTTGCTGAAGAGACGGTTCTAACTGCTGCATGTCACAGAATGACTTTGAGACAACCAGATGAATCCCTGATTCTATTGCATGATAGATAAGAATCCAAACACCATAAGCACCTACAACTGTGATTATGAAATACGAGCAGAGTGACATTTCCC